TTGGAGGTGATGTTATTCCGGAAGTAACATTACTGACTAACACTGATTGAAAGATTCTTATGAATTACTTTTAGGAAACTGAGTTTCTGAACATTGAAAAATAATACATTGAGTGAACAAATTTTTTTTTCATGAAAAGTAGCGCACAACAGGTCCAATAGTGGCCTAGGTGTATTTCTTTGGATTTGATGTAGTATACATCCTTCTATCAACCTAACCTAACCTTGGGCCAACAAAATTTGAAAAAAATCTAATCTCAGAGACCATAAGTATTTCTAAAGGATTGAGGTGTGTTGAAACCGAATTTCACCATTACATTAGTTTTTTTCACATTTGAGGTCAGATTTGGATTCAGCAAATTTTAAACCTTTAGCAAAGTATATGTTTCAAAGACACTTATCAATATACCTACGTATATTTTAAAAGGGAAAAAACATAATTCAAAACTTTGTTTAGATAACGAAATTATTGTTTTTTATTTTCTCAGCTGCCTTTTAAAATCATTATCATCTTGAATTATTTTATTCCTGTGTATGTATATTTATGCTTATGTTTGCAATATTAGTTTCAGATTAAATTTATAAACAAATATAATTGTAAGAGACAAGAAAATATAGTCGATCATGGAAGATTATATGATATCCTACAACTATATTCTATATTGGCCCATGTATCGATTTTTATTACGAATACAAAATTCATAACTATTGGATAAGTTTTTGTAAGAGGCTCTCTATGGAGGCCTGGGGTCCTGTTGAGGGTTTATATGAGACCTTGCATCAAATATGGACCTATTTTCACAATAATTTAATGTATAAAGAATGGTTATTTAAGGCCAATTTCGGCTTAATCAGAGAACCTTTATTTAGATTTTACGTTATAGGAAATAGGGCTTATATCAAAGGAGCTTGAATGCTGAAATCTGTCCGAAATATTTCCCAATAATGGATAGACTTTGATATAAAAAAATACATTTTAATGATGTATAGTTTTAAAAGTAAATATGAATAAAAAAATCATTGTTTCTATATAATTTTGATTCATAGGTGAGGGGTAAAGAAAATTCGACACAACCGAAAATAATCATCCATACATACCTACATATATATATGTATATGTATATAGAAATATGATAAGATTATTGGCTTAACTTTTAATTCTCCCGATTATAAAAGACATTGTTTGTCTCTAAAACAGCATTTAGTTCTATAGAATTGTTCTACGATTAAAAGCATGTGGCTTCAATTAAAAGTTAATTGTTTAATGAAATTCTTATTATTGTTGTTGGTATATTTACCCAGCATACAAAGTAATTGTGTCATAGAATATCCCCGTGATGAAAAAACTATACCGAAGTATGAAAAATCGTTTGGAAAATATAAACTGCGAGTGCCTTACAATGGAAATCCTATAAAGTTGTCGGAAGGTGAAACGATTAAAGGATTTTGTGATACATATTTTAGGTAAGTGTGAGGATTTATAATATATTATATTCGGCTATGCCGAATCTCAAATATTTTCCATCAAAGTGTGTCAAGTTACACAGGTACTTATAATGTTTTATGTCAATTTTTTTTATATATATATATTAATGGGAATATTAGGGTAATTTATGGTAAAGGCCCTTTAATGGAGGATTAGGTCAGTCATGGACCGAGCTGTAAAGCAGTTGTAAGAGTGATATATTTGTCGTGTGTTAACATAATAGCTTCATATTTAAGCGATATTTGAAGGGTCAAATATGGTCCGATTTTTACGAAAGTCAGTTATAAACGCCAGTTACTTCGCTTTTTTTGTACAAATGACCCAACTTTTTAAATCGATGTCTTTCGATACAACAAGATTTTTTGCAACTCTACTACTATCCAAACTAAACTGAACTTTTTATACTCTACACCACTAGAGTGGGGAGGGTATTATGTGTTTGTGCTGATGTTTGTAAAACCCAAAAATATTGGGACCTACACCTACCTTAAAGTATACCAATCACAATAAAAATCACTTTCTGAGTCGATTTAGCTATGTCCGTCTGTGTGTTCATGTAAACCTTGTGCGATAATAACTCTTCTTTTGAACGAAGCCTATTGAAAATGGTTAAAATTGGTGCATTATTTCCCCATACAACCGTTCCCCCCGAATAGGGCTTTTAAGCTCATAAATATGTTAAATGTTATTGTATCACTTCAAAACTTAGTTTTATATAAGTCCTAATGATACTGTTGATTTTCGTAATGATCGGGCCACATTTGACCCTATCTCCCCATACAAAGTCCCCTTCAGAAAATGACTTGATGGTCGAAATTCACTTATAAACACTAAATTCATGTTGATATTCTGCCCTCCACTAAAATGTATAGGGTTAGAACCATATTAATCCCCTGCCCCCATAGAAAATTCCTTTTCTCTCAACAAATTGTTAAAATATTTCCAAATTAAGATAAGAACTAAATTAAATAAAGTATTTAAAAAAAATAAGCAAAATTTGGAACATAATAAACTGGTGTAGCGTATCATATGGTTGGCCATGTCCGACTATAAATTTTTACTTGTTTTAAAGTATTTTTATTTTTTCTTTAACGTTTTCAGTCCCATCAACTATAAGATAACAGAAAAATCTACTTCATATGATTATCATTATGGATACAGGGATGTGGTTATAGATAAATCAATTTTTAATCAGTCTACGATTGTCTTAGAATGCCATAATCACAAATTGGTTTATAATGATATAGAACTTTCAGAGCAAACGTTTTCATGTATACCTCACGAATGGACAATCTACTCTACGAAACAACCATACAGTTGGTGTCAAAACAATCAGAATTCTAGTACATTTTTATTGGGTACGCAACAATCAACTGGTAATTATATATTAGCTGCGATTTGCTATAATTTGGAACAAATGTCATTACAAACTGTCGTTTATAATGTGACAAATAATGTACGTGGTAATCATATGAAGCAAGTAAGTGTGAATTTGTTTTAAAAACATGTAAAATTAAACTTTGAGAAATTTTATTATTAAATTTTGTCTCTTTCACATATAGCCAATGAATTTACAAACAACAAATACGTATCCCAAGGAGAATGTAGACGAAAATCTTCAGAACTTTAAAACTGCCACACTTTCAGATTTAAGGTACAAATATATTTATTAATAAAAATAATATACAGTAAAATCAATTCCTCGTCTCTATCCTACAGTGAGGAGCTATTGCAGGAAAAATTAACTGAATTAACTGAAATTGATGAATGGCTGAATCTTGCAAATTATGAAATTTCTTCAATTGTACAGGATGAAACATTAAAGGAATATTTTAAGGAATATGACAATATATTAAAGACAGTTTGGTGGCGTAATCTACGTCTAGGTAATTGGAAACGTTTTCAGAAAACATTGGCGAATTATGCTAAATATAATAAGTTTGAAATATATACTGGTACATCGGGTGTAGCACAATATCCGTCTGAGGATAGGTGGTATAAAGAGAAACCATTGGAAATGACAGTAAGTATTTCAAATACTAAATATATGTTTAATACTGTCTTTTTTTCATTTATAGATTGGTTTTAAAAATGAGACTATACCCGCCTATATATGGAGCTATTTGAAATCGTATGATAATGTAAACAAAGAATTTATAATTTTTGCTTATAATTCACCCTATACTGAGGTATAAGATACTTAATTTACTTATTTACTTTATTGATCATTATGTATTTTTCCTACAATTTAGTATTTCACCACTGAGAAGGTAATATTTTGTCCCGATATCTGTGCGGATATTCCTTGGTTGGATGAAATCTATCCCTCGTTTCGTTATGCATTTGCCGGCACTATGTTCTGTTGTTCTACCGATTATATAAGACAAACCAATAATTTGCCAGGATTTCCCATGGAGATTTTGATGGCTGCACAAATTGAAACAACAATTTCGTCAGTTGAGACAACAACTTTGCAAGTAGAGACAACAACTTCGCAAGTGGAAACAACAACATTAGAATTGTCTACCGACATTTATTAAACTTAATCTTTGAAATTTATAATGTAAAATTTATAAATTACTTTAAAGAAAAAAAATCGTAAAACAATCCTCTTTAGCTCCCCTACAAAAAAAATTAAGTTCATAACTGACATAAAAATACTATTCGTTGTAAACAAGGTTTATAAGAACGAAAATCTCTCTAACATAATTGCATCAATCGGGGAAAACCCCAAGTTTGAATAAATATTGACTATATGCAAAAATAATATTTAATATTTTAGTCGTTATCAGCAATGATTTTCATTTACATATTTACAGCAGAAACTTTTACATGTCCGTCTGTCCATGTTAATATTGTAATCAAACTTATTGGTGGCAAACTTGGAGATAACACTGACCAACGAACGTTGGGTTGAAATGAGTCAAAATTAACGCTTATTTAAAATGATTGAAATCAGCTTTTATATTAGTAAATACAGACAAAATTCTACATCAATGTGTGACATTTCAAACATACAAATGTGTTATCAATTGCCTCAAAGTGGTTAAGAAAATATTATTTTTGGAAATAATTCGGTATCTCTGGAACGATTGGAGATATCGTAAGGAAGCTGAAGTGTTATAGCTTAGGTGTTTTTGAGTTTACAGACATTTATAGGTGATCGTAAGCCAGTGAGTCCACTCGGGTATCACATATATTTCTTAAAAAAATCGCCAAAAATTTCTTTATAATAGGAATGTGTCGAAATTAAAAATATACTACTTCTTGAGATGATTTCTACATCTTATATGTGTGGTAATCTCTTTTGCTTCAAGAGATATATTTTTATACCCACCATCATAGACCCCCAAAAGTACAGGTAAGGTTTTTTTGGTATTGAAAATGGGCAATATCGGTCCACGTTTTCTGATAGCCCCCATTCAAGTGGACTCCCAAAAAACAGCTTTTCGGCATAAATAAGTTTCATGTGAGTCAAAATTCTCCTAACAAATTTTATGAGAATCGGTCCACAGTTGACCCTACCCCCCATGTAAGGCCCACTTCAGAAAACTAATTACTGTCTTAAAAAACGAATATAGCGATAAAATTCGACACACAACAGTTAAATGAGAGGCAAAATTACTTTACCAAATTTTATGTGGATCGGTCCAGAATTGACCCTATCCCCATATAAGGCCTCTTTTAGAAAATGACTTTAACGCTCATTACTGGCTTAAAAGTGCGAGTATAGGGATGAAATTTGACACAAGTAAGTCTGACATAGAATATGTCGAGAACATTGTAACTTAGATTCTTCTTAGAATGTAACGGCCATGTGGAACATTATAGTAAATACCCGTAACCCGTTGCTACACGAATGACTCTAAACTGGATTACAAAAGCGGTATAGTGTTCTACATTGATAACCATTTTTACGGACAGTCAGAATGCAGTTAGGGAGTTATCAGGATAACAATTTAAATCTAAAATCGTATTGCACTATAAGAGAGAATTAAACGGATGGTAGGAGAATCACTTAAGGCAACTTGGAATAACGAAACGGTGGGTAAAACAACAAGGACGCATGGGGTAACCCCAAGGAGGGCAGGACGAGAATTATCATCAGAATGAGTAAGTCTGAAGTTATTATAATGATACATATTATGAGAGAACACACAGGATTACAAGCCGAACTATACAAATTAGACGAAAGAATTCAGACATGTATATTGAAGTTTAATCGATTATCTAGTAGAACACCAAGATATCTTAAACGTTTGCTAAAGGTTATACTTTTACCTTGTATTCTTAGTTTTGGAACGATCTACGATTTGTAATTAATATTGACTCTGTTTTTTCGGCCGCTAATTTCAGACCATGCTCGTTTAACCACCTATCGCAGCGGCTGAGGCTATCATTAGTTATTATTTCCAGAGCTTGTGGCAAAGTATGGGAAATAACAAGTGCTACATCATCGGCATATCCTATAATATGCGCACCTTTTGGTAGCTCGAGATTTAGAAGTCCGTCGTACACCATATTCCATAAAAGTGGTCCTAAGACCGATCCTTGTGGTACTCCTGCAGTAATTTGGTATTCCTTCATACCATCATCTGTTTTATACATTAGGACTCTATCATACAAATAATCAGCTATTATATAACAGAGAACTATGTATTCTTTTGTCTTTGCATGAGGTCATTACAACACTCCATTTAGCTGTGTTGAATGCATTTTTAACATCAAGTTAATAACAGTACAAAAACCTTTTTCTTTCTTGGAAGCTAGTGCAATATCTACTACTTCCTTTATAGCTCCAACTGTGCTTTTTCCTTTTTGAAAACCATATGTTAGTTAGTTAGTTAGTTAGTTAGTTAGTTAGTTAGTTAGTTAGTTAGTTAGTTAGTTAGTTAGTTTAGTTAGTTAGTTAGTTAGTTAGTTAGTTAGTTAGTTAGTTAGTTAGTTAGTTAGTTAGTTAGTTTAGTTAGTTAGTTAGTTAGTTAGTTAGTTAGTTAGTTCGTTAGTTAGTTAGTTAGTTTAGTTAGTTAGTTAGTTAGTTAGTTTAGTTTTAGTTAGTTAGTTAGTGTTCGTTAGTTCGTTATTAGTTAGTTAGTTATTCGTTAGTTAGTTAGTTAGTAGTTAGTTCGTTAGTTAGTTAGTTAGTTTCGTTCGTTCGTTTTCGTTTTTTTTCGTTTTCGTTAGTTAGTTAGTTAGTTGTTAGTTAGTTAGTTAGTTCGTTAGTTAGTTAGTTAGTTAGTAGTTAGTTAGTTAGTTAGTTAGTTATTCGTTAGTTAGTTAGTTAGTTCGTTAGTTGTTAGTTCGTTGTTAGTTCGTGTCGTTCGTTTGTTCGTTCGTTCTTCGTTCGTTCGTTGTTCGTTCGTTCGTTAGTTCGTTCGTTAGTTCGTTAGTTAGTTCGTGTTCGTTCGTTCGTTCGTTCGTTCGTTAGTTGTTCGTTCGTTCGTTCGTTCGTTCGTTCGTTCGTTCGTTCGTTTCGTTCGTTCTTCGTTCGTTCGTTTCGTTCGTTCGTTCGTTCGTTCGTTCGTTCGTTCTTCGTTCGTTCGTTCGTTGTCGTTCGTTCGTTCGTTCGTTCGTTCGTTCGTTTGTTCGTTCGTTCGTTCGTTCGTTTCGTTCGTTCGTTTCGTTCGTTCTTCGTTCGTTCGTTCGTTCTTTTCGTTCGTTCGTTCGTTCGTTCGTTCGTTCGTTGTTCGTTCGTTCGTTCGTTCGTTCGTTCGTTCGTTCTTCGTCTTTCGTTCGTTCGTTCGTTCGTTCGTTCGTTTCTTTCGTTCGTTCGTTCTTCGTTCGTTCGTTCGTTCGTTCGTTCGTTTTCTTTCGTTCGTTCGTTCTCGTTCGTTCGTTCGTTCTTCGTTCGTTTCGTTCGTTCGTTCGTTCGTTCGTTGTTCGTTCGTTCGTTCGTTCGTTCGTTCGTTCGTTCGTTCGTTCGTTCGTTCGTTCGTGTTCGTTCGTTCTCTTCGTTCGTTCTCGTTCGTTCGTTCGTTCGTTCGTTCGTTCGTTCGTTCGTTCGTTGTTCGTTCGTTCGTTCGTTCGTTCGTTCGTTCGTTCGTTCGTTTTTCGTTCGTTCGTTTTCGTTCGTTCGTTCGTTTCGTTCGTTCGTTCGTTCGTTCGTTCGTTCGTTTCGTTCGTTCGTTCGTTCGTTCGTTCGTTCGTTCGTTCGTTCGTTCGTTCGTTCGTTCGTTCGTTCGTTCGTTCGTTCGTTCGTTCGTTCGTTTCGTTCGTTCGTTCGTTCGTTCGTTCGTTCGTTCGTTCGTTCGTTCGTTTCGTTCGTTCGTTCGTTCGTCGTTCGTTTTCGTTCGTTCGTTCGTTCGTTCGTTCGTTCGTTCGTTCGTTCGTTCGTTCGTTCGTTCGGTTCGTTCTTCGTTCGTTCTTTCGTTCGTTCGTTGCTCGTTCGTTCTCGTTCCTTCGTTCCTTCGTTCTTCGTTTTCGTTCGTTCGTTCGTTTCGTTCGTTCGCTCGTTCGTTCGTTCGTTCGTTCGTTCGTTCGTTCGTTCGTTCGTTGTTCGTTCTGTTCGTTCGTTCGTTCGTTTTCGTTCGTTTCGTTCGTTCGTTCGTTCGTTCGTTCTTCGTTCGTTCGTTCGTTCGTTCTTCGTTCGTTTCGTTCTTTTCTTCGTTCGTTCGTTCGTTCGTTCGTTTTTCGTTCGTTCGTTCGTTCGTTCGTTTGTTCTTCGTTCGTTCGTTTCGTTCGTTCGTCGTTCTTCGTTCGTTCGTTCGTTTCGTTCGTTCGTTCGTTCGTTCGTTCGTTCGTTCGTTCGTTCTTCGTTCGTTCGTTCGTTTTCGTTCGTTCTTCCGTTGTCGTCCTTGCTCCCCCGGCCGTGTTTTTTCTCCCGCTCTTCTCCCGTCCTTCCCCGTGCCTTCCTCTTTTTTCCCTCCCCCCCCGCTGCTCCTCTCCTCCTCTTCCCTTCGCCGGCTGACGGATTTGTTGGAAAATAAATAAAGAATTCTTCAAAATCACTAAAATATACTTTTTATTCAAATTTATAAATTTAAAACA